CCCCAAAACCCCAAAACCCCAAAACCCCAAAACCCCAAAACCCCGAAATAATAAAATCCATGCTTAATTATCAAAGTTAGTAAATAAAAATAAATAATTCAAAGGCCTGTTCTACAATAATAGAAATCTCTTTTAACACAATTTTCACTATTTATACTAATAGCAGAAGATTATCATCTTGATATCAATTCAGATTAAACTGATTCACTAGATTGCAAATGATTTCTTTCGTATCCTATTGAGATTTCAGTGTACTTTTAATGCTAAAGTTATTGGAATTTTTATGAAACAGGAGTCTTTACTTATTTTTCATCCAATTCATTTTCATCGATTTCTCCTTCATCGCTTAAGAAATTTTACAAAGAGGTAAAATGCTACTAATTACTTTAAACTGTATTTGATAACTCAAAGTCCTTTGTTAAAACAGATTGAGAATCAATTCTTTACTAACTCATTATATTGTAGTTTCTTTGATTTCCTTCTCTTATTTTCTGAAGATACTTTTAAGTATTTGGTGAGTATAGTTTACCCCCTGATTGGCTTTATTTCATAGGAGAAGAATTCTTATTAAACTTTTGCAGTTTGGATTCTGTTGCTGGAGATTATTTCATTAGCTAAGAAAGCACTCTTTCTCTATTTTTTTCGACAGATTAAAATTGCTAATGATACTGTTCGTATTCGAATTATCCGTCTGAATTGCCCAAATGTATTGGAGATTAATTAGATATCAAGCTTCCCTAGATGTTGATACCTTAGGCATAAGTCGCTAGATTTTAAATAGGGGTAACAAATCCATCAGGAGATTAAGTATATCTAATATCATACTGTTGGATTTTAGAGGTACTGATTGAATTCATAAAAGATGAGGGATGATTTCTATTGACATTCTAGTTAGAATCACTTTTCTTTTCACTACTCAAATTGCCAGCTGGTAGAAAATGAGATATGTGATTACTCATTTAGTTTTAATTAGGTGACTAGGGACTAAAGTTTGATTTATGCCCTCCTGTTGTTGTACTCTTTTATTAAATTGATTTACTCTAGTCTGTATTTTTATGACTAGTACTTTAATGCTGCATTAAACTATCCTATAATGATTATTCCTTCTAGGGTGTTTATTAGAGAGTCTGAGATAGTTTCTGAAGGAGTTTCTTAGTATTTTTGTAGGGATCATTTTCCAATTTATAAACAATGCTATTCTAGCTGTTTTGCTATTAAGAATAAATACTCAATCTATCATTTCTTGATGGACTTTTTTAACTTTTTAGATTAGAGTGACTGGAATTCTTTTGCAATTGTTGATTTATCAATCTTTGAAATGCCTCTGAGGTTTTAATGTTAAAACTTTAGTGAGCGCTTCTCAATTCTGTTTAATATGCTCCGGGACCAACATCCCTCATTCTTTCTGGTGATTCAAGTTTAAATAAGACATCATCTTTCATTATATCTGAATTAAGCATTATAGATTTATAGACTAATTTACATTCATGAGTTGCAATGGTTCTAGTAGGACTAATTTGCAAGCACTTATTATTTTCATTTCTTCTTGATTTATCTATTGAGATAGACCTTTTATCTATTTTATTGTTAACTTGATAATACTCACTGCTACTGTAAAGGGAATGATAAGACTTTGCAATGTCTGAATTTCTAAAAGTAGGTGAGCATTACAGATGATTGCACTCCTGCAATGTCTAATAGCTAATGCTACTAGTAGAAGGCATAAGTGATTTTCTTTTATCGTTATTACGAATTTGCTATCCAATACTTCGATGTAACTATGATTCATATTGACCTGGAGCTGTAATATTCCCTGCAATGTATTGAATAAAATGAAGCACTTACCTTTAGGAGTTTAAAATCTATCTTAAGTAGAAATCCCAAAGTTTGACATACTTAAAATAAAAATGAAAATATATATATTTATATTTTTGACTTTTAATTTGCTAAAAATTAAGCAAAATGGGGTTTTGGGGTTTTGGGG